AGCAACCTAACAATCTTAACCGCGACTAAGGTCTTTATCTATCACCAATATGTTAATCAGTCATCAGAGGCGATGTTTATGCCCCTCATTTAGCTCCGTGCCCCTCAAGCAATATAAATGCAGGTACAGAGTAAAATGCGAGCCAGTTTCAGTCACGCTCTGAAGAAGCCAAGATGATGATTGGCTAACGTTAGCAAGTTTGACTCAACAAAAAACGAACCCAGAAGTTTTGTAAAAAGCAGTTTATCAGACTATTAGTGAGATTTTTGTGAGGTTATTCAACTTCCTTAATAAACAATTGGGCTTATGAAACTTAATATATTGATATTAAGTTCAAGCAACTTGGTTTCCTCAAGAAGAAAGGCACAGATGTTTTCCTTAGTAAATTTAAAAACTTAATTCTTAGCTTACCAACATTTGTGGCTTTTTTAGACTACACAAAACCTTTTGATACAGTTGATCACGTTATACTAGTGTCCAAATTGCAGAATATCGGGATAAGGGGTGTAAGTTTCACATTGAAGTTATCTGTTGCAGTACCTCAGGGCTCAATACTAGGACCAATATTGTTCATGTCATATCTAAAGGATTTATTGGTTTTGCAAGATATCTTAATGGCATATGTCAATGACAAGATTTATGGTATGAGTCTAAAAAGAGTTACTAGTTGTAAATATCTAGGAATAACTTATTACTATAATATAAAATGAGATATTTACGTAGCTAGTGCATTAAGAAGAACCAAATATGTTTTTTATAGACTCAAGGCAATGCTAACAAGAAACCAGTTATTGCAAATTTATTATGGGGTTTTCCATAGTGTTGCTGTGCATGCAGTCATAGGCTGGGGAGGTCTCGACAATTCTCGGTTTGACCCGTTTGATAGGCTTCAGAAACATATTCTTAAAATTAGACCAGATAGACCACTGAGAATCAAACAACCGTTTATAATAAATTCTATAGTGTATCAATATAGTAAATTAGTTGGCTATTGGACAACCAAGCTATGTGTATTATGCAATAATAGTATATTATGCAACAAGTGCGGTAAGCGACATTTGACTAACGAGTTTATTTGACACGAGCGGAGCTCAGCGGCGCGAGTTTTTAATAAACGAGTGAGTTAAAAAGTTTACTGAACGTGTTGCATACTATACTTTTTCTACGACCGTTAGTTTTTGGGTCCATTTTCGCAAAACGACAAGAATACATTCACTGACATGACCGTCAGAATTGACAAACGTCAAAATTCAAAGCATCGGAAATATCTCCGAAAACATCCGATTGCTCCCAAACCCGTGGGGTAAAATCCCGAAAATGTCCGAAGTGGCTCGGATTCATGGGAAACGAAACTGAGGTGGTAAAGTGACGCTTCCCGCACTCTAGATCGATGGGTAATTAGGTATTTTACAGACGGGTGTAGAAAAAATATTTTAATGAATTTCCTAACGAACTGAACAATCTCAATGTCGACAAAAAGTGCTTTAGAAAAGTTAAAGAAAACATAATAGGTATTAAAATCGAATTAATAAAATGTAAACATAAAATTCAAAATGTCTATAAGTCTAATATAATATATAGATTAAAAAAATAGTGGTGCACTTAAAAATGTACTCACCAAATTTGAAAAAGATATATAAAATCGTTTCTTAAACAGTACAATAAAGATTTATTCTAAACACTTTAGTGCTCTGTATATCCAAATTGGAGACACTGGTTCAATTTTCTGCCCTCGCAACCGGTCAATCTCAGCGTTACCAGTTTAACCACTCAGCCATTTTGATTTTTTAGATATCTCAGATTTTCCTCGTTTATTGTCTCCAACTAAATTAGGATAATTGTCAACATAAAATTATCGTTATCTTAAATGTTTGCAATTCCTTTCGCTATCTCGGATTAAAGAGTTTTTGTTAGCCCTTTGATAATATTATTTTGACTAGCGTCTTTCTCGTCCATAAATAATTAGACAAAGTCAACAAGTAATTAATAGTCATTACGGTTTTAATATTCTACTTAATGCGCTGTTAAAATCATACTAAAAATTGGAAACTTTACAAAAAAAACAATAAAAGACTTTCCATTTCTGATCAAACCTAAGCGACAAAAATGTTTCATAACAAAATCATAAATTTAAAATTAAAATAAGTAGAAATAATTAATTGACTTTCATTGCATATCCAGCGACCTAATTGATATAAATGTATGTACAGACCGATATGCAAAGATCGATATTTTATTCTCCAACTGGTTTGTTTTTAGTTTTCAGAAAAACGGAGAAAGATTATTTAAAAATAACATCCCCAGAGATGATTTTATCAATAGTTTTATTGTCAAAAAAAATCTATGCCTCAATCAACAATCGAACAAATCTAAATATCAACCAGAAAAAGTATTTAACATTAGACGGATCGGTTTTTAGACAAAACTTGCTTTTTCTAAAATAAAACTAACATAAAGATTTAGGTATAGGGATATAGAAGAGAATTTAATTTGCTATTAGAATAGGTGATAATATACAGTCTGTTCCATTTGAAAAATGCACTTTTCACTGTTTTTGTATCTCGTAGGCAAATCATTAGTTTTGAAAAACCCTGTATCATATATATAGAACTAAGTTCGACAATAAGAAATAATGTACAGTACCGCCCTAACCTACGTCCAAAATTTTAAGTTCCTACTGCCTCCAGTGTCGTAGTAATAAATTTATAATTGGAGCTATATTTTGGTCGAAAAATATAGAAAATAATTAATTTTTTGGAAACAACTAAAGATATGTATAGGAACGTATGCAATAATTCACGGGTCAGCAAAAAATTTGCCTTTGGACACTTTTTCCGCCTCAGCAATCGGTTCAAATTTAAGGTTTTGAATTCCGATACCACCAGGCCATGACCGTTAAATATGATTCTTAAAAATCCCACCATCTTAAAATCTCCAATCAGCTGCCAGTAATACTCGCGATACTTTACAGATTCAAGCACGATTTTAACAATTTCAAAATTTTCTTTTAGATGTACAGAGGGATCGATTGGAAGAGATGGGAATTTATTTCCATTGTAAAATAAAAGAGCTATTAAGTTCTTCATGGAGCTGTCAATAAATAAACGCTATTCGTTATGAACACAGGGTATTCCAATTTCTTCGAATATACATCTTATTTTGTGAAAAACGTTGAGAATATTTCATGTCTAGTCCGCTGATGCGTGATATTAACATCATTAAGCAAATTCCATTGTTTTAAGCGAGAGCCCAAAAGCTCTGTAGTAATAAGATGGCGTTTTAATTGTTCTGGTATAGGTAAAAAAAGTATAATTACATTTATTCTTCGATAATTTTTGCGGTGGCTTGGGTACTGGTCGTGTCAGGCATTTGGAGCCGAGAAAGAGCAAGATATTATTATATTATACGCTTTTTACTTGGATTCTCAATGCAAATGTAGCAGTCATTGACGTGGAACTTTGATTCCCGCCAGATCCTTGCTATTGCAAATGTCATAAATAAAAACGAAAATTAATATGTCTATTATATTTGATTCATGGCTTAATAAAATATTCTTTGCCTTCTAAACACGTTTTATAATAGAAGCAACACGTGGAGCTCATGGCGTGTCTTGATTCCGAACAGCAAAGTCAAAATATGCTTCGCAGAGAACGTGAGATGTCTTTGGTTTACTCTTTCGCAATGATATTTCAAAGTTGTCTGAGCTGCGATCTAGCACTATGTGAATGTAAAAACCCTACTCTCTGGGCGCAGTATTTTTAAGAAACTAACCAAATTTTCAGAACAGTTCAATGTACCGTTCGCAGTAAACGTCTAAGGTACCATCAACCGTGAAACACCCTGTATAATTACGAAGAGACGAACATAACAGTTTGTAGTAATGCTAGAAGTGTTGTGCTTCCCCCCATGCTACCCCAGGAACTAAAGGTAGTATTTCAAAATCCGGCTTGCATATATCAATTTCACTTGGACACCAGACTCAACAACTATTGTGAGACAAATGAGCAAGCCATTTTTTCCCAATGTAATCCAATCCTGCAGTGAAATCATATAATTGATGATTGATGAGCTCCAAATTGGAAAGATTCGAAGTCTGATAGAATGGATATGATTTGGAAAGTGTTCCATGACTCTGACGCAGATAAAGACTTCGAACCGGATAATCTTTTTTTTTTTCAGTTTAAGCTTATTATTTGCTTTCTTCACTGTTTTAAAGAAATGTTCATTTAGTTTATAGAGTTTATATTGTTATTTTAGTATGTAGAGTTTTTTTACCATTCTAAATGAATGATTCACTCGATTTTATGTCGCGGTCCAGAAAAATGATACAATTTTTTTTTTCTGTACTAGGTCTAATTTTACCTATTTTATCTAAGTGCGGGCTAAGTTGATCATGGTACTTGATTTAAATATAATTTATAACGTAACCTGGGGATACTTGGGTACCCAATATTTTGTTTTAACTATTTATATTTTACTTTGTTTTTTGTGTCTGAAAATGCCTTTTAATCATGTGGGTATAACTCTTTTTTCTCCAAAATATTCTGCGAAGCACTTTTTGACTTGTTCGGAAAAAGTTCTCGAAAATGTAGCCCCGGTTTACGGTACTGAAGCTCATTTTCACTTTCGTTGGTTGAAAAACAGTTCCAGGCACTTTCGCTCGAAATTTATCTCGTACGTGTCTGCACTTATTTACCAAATTTACAACTCAAACTCGCTCGACGATAACACTGAAGAAAAAATTTTATAAAATTTACTCGCTAATCATCTAAATATGTTTGTTTAACTATATATAACGCCCGATGGAATAGAAAAAGTGTTGATAATTTTTGGTTATTCAAAGCCGAAACGCCAAAAATCAACCAGCCTGTACAATTTACCTTCATTAAGGTTTTATTAAACAATGCTAATCCCTATTTAAATAAACCGCAAGCCTTTCACCACCGCTTTAACCTGTAGATATCGTGGATTTCTTCTAATTCAAATTTTACACTGCTTGCTTTGCTAGACATGATTTGATGTAATTATATTTATGGTGATGTCGATGGATTAAGGCTTTTGTTATTTCGCAAGTGTCCCGATAAAATTTGTTAAATGTGCGGCTCCACGTACAAATGTTGGTCTCGGAAGAAAACAACCGAGGTAAGATAGTAATCTACACTTAACCACAGCAAATTTTCATAATTAAAATAAGTTTTTATATGAACGAAAGCTACCTTATTATGTAGCCTTGCTCTAGTTTGACTATTCGGCATGACATATTTTCTTCTAGTATAAACTTGTCTCCAAATCCACTTCATTTTTGAATACAGTATTCTGAATTTTAAGAAACCCGTGACTTTTATTTCGAAGCTAGTACAGATTAATTGTTTCTTAAAAAATGCCGCATTTTTATTTCAGTAATAAATATTTTCCCTGAACTTTTCAATACAAACCAGATATTACACAAGTATTCACATTCCACATTTATACATGTATAGCTACAGTTTACAATTACATTCACGATATAAATTTGGACAGAGCACCGACGTCAGAAAATACCCTCTAAATTGTTTTACGATGTTCGATTTAAAATTTTAAAAATTTTAACGCGAAGGCAATTGAACTTATCTTACGTCATAGCCAAAACCGAGATCTGGAACGTGATATCGACTCATTCATTATTTCTCCATTAATATTTTTTCTATTAGACGAGATATCGCAATTTTGTTTTTCTTGGTCTTCTGGACTTAGTTCGTTTTTAATAAAGAACCACAAATAATAATAGCATGAGTCGATATTAATTATTAACTTTCTTATAAGCGCCATATTCAATACTTTCATTATCATATAGATCATAAAAAATTGTTTTAAATGATAAATCACATGATATAATTTATCATTAGCATTTATCATCATTCTCCGGGGTTACAAAAACTAAATTTGATTTTTTTATAGTAAGCCATGATCACTCTCAACAGAAATTTGGAAAAGCAGAAGTTTTTTTCCATGCTTACTTCAATAAAATTGGAAGAACTTGGAATTGCTTACTAATTACATTGCAATAAATATACAAATCATAATTGAAATTTATGAAATTTTATCCGATAATTAATGCATATGCAATATTTACAGCCTCAATTACAAAAGATGTTCAAACAAATGACCATTATCTCAAGACATTGTTAAGTACACCTGGTGTTATGGTTTGAAATACTTCTATAACTAAACTAAACTAAAACTAGCTGATGTAACTCATCCTCTGTTTCAAAGCTTCAAAGATAAAAGTGGATGTCAATAAATGCATTTGTCAATAATGATAATTATTTTTTCAAAGTTCACTATGTTTATAGCATTAATTGGACTGTCAAAATTTTAAATTTATTTGAACTTTTGTTATTGTTCCAGATGTATGTTGCTGATCATGGCCCCGTAAAAAAAATAAAACTTTGCTTTTGTCACCCTAAGAAAAAATGAAAAAAAAATTGTTTTTCTTTGATTCATTATATTCTTATCAAGAAAATATTCTAATTAACGTTTTTATGTGTTCGTAGCCATTTTTGGGCAAACTGGAAAAGGGTAATAGTAAGGAAATTGAAACACAAAATATATGATTACATTCTGTTGTACTGCGTACTATATAATTGTAATTATATAAATAATAAGTACATATTAAATAAAGTTAATCGCCATTATCGTCCAAGGATATAATTAATGGTTTTACGTTGTACAGGATGGTCGTAATTGGAATATTGTAACTATGTTAGAAATTCAATTTTCAGCACTTTGAAAATTGCCAATACCTTTTTTATTTATGAAACTTTTGGATTTGGATAAAAACATTGTTTGGGCATTTTTGAAGGTAAATGCAGCGGCGTATTCAGATTTTTTCTACAGTTCTAGGAGTTTCTACAGGAGATAATAGTCTTAAGAAATGCCCTATGATCTCCATATAAAATAAGACAATTGTATTCATTTATGAGAAAATCGAGAACTGTAGAAAAAATCTGGAGACTGCATTTGCCTTAAATAAATGCCTTGATAAAGTTTTCACCCGAATCCAAAATTTTCATAAATAAAAAAATTATGAGCCATTTTGAATTGAGCCTGGAAAGTGAAAAACGCCCTATATCTCGGTTAGTGGTGAAGATACGGTTTTAACCATTGAATGTTTCTCAAAAATCGAGTCCTTGACATGTAAATGAATTTTGCTCTATCTGTTTCGGAAATAGGGTTTTCCCTATACACATCAAGTACATGAATAACAGATTTTCTCTAACTGCTCTCTGGCATTAATTCACATATGATTTCTATAGGACTCAATCGTCTTCTAAGACCGGATTTTGTTCTTTGGAATTTTAAATAGTTGTTTTTTTTGTATAAGTATCTTCAAAATAAAGTTCTTGCTAACTATAGAACTACATACATATTGGTTACACAAGACATAACAAATAATATAAAACAAATTCAAACAAAACTAAACATATTTGTATATACAATTAGCAAGTTTTTTTTCCAGCAACCCATGCTAGATCAAAATGTTTCCATAACTTTTAGCTTCTAAACGTCATCCATTTAAAAGTCATTTTTATTGCCGCAAACACAAAACCAAACCATACACCCATATAAAAGAAAAGAAAGAATAATTAGGGATGACGCAACTCTAGCCAGAGTTATATCGATAATAATATTACTTTTCTTAAAGAAAATTTTGTTGGAATAAATATTAATAATGAATTTAATACCTATGACAGATTTCCAACTTTAGCCTTCAGCTATGACTATTTTTGGATCTTGTTTAATAATTTTCTACGGGTGAATAGTTCATTTATTAAATATGACCGTGATTCTGTTTTAACTGTTATTTTTTATATCTTGTATTGTTTGTCCTCACTGATCCTTAATTAATATTTTAATAATGAGGTTTTTGTATTAATTGGATGATCGCATTTTCTATATAATATAATTTGTAATTCTGCGAGAACGTACAATATATCAGATAAGTACCGTGTCATGTCCATTTCTAAAATTTGTCTATAAATTATCTTTTTTTGTCACAGTAATTGATTTAAATTAATTACCTTATAAAGTTTTATTTCTACAACCAAACTAACTAAACTAAACTAAAATATACTTTTTGATTAATATTTTAAGTTCACGCTGAATTCCGGTGCAATAACTTTTGTCTTTAAAATTTAACGAATTTTTGAATTTGAATTTATATTACTACCTTGAGATTTATTTATTTGAAAGTGCGTCATCTGAGTACCGTTTATAAACATGGAATTCAATTTTATATTGTCAGTTGTATTAGAATCCTTCAGGATTTTATTTTTAGGGTAATGAATAGTTTTCATGCAAAAAATAAAAAGGGTTGTTTTAAATCTTAGAAATTTTAAGTAAAAAAGTAACAGAATGGAATCACCCATATTTCAATCCTTTGCTTATAATACCACTCTACAAAAAAATGTTCGTTCTTTCTCCTATAGTGATTTTTCTCTTAATTTTGCACAAAAACGAAAAGAAAATATCTTTTCCTGATATAAAGTTTGCTTTTGTGATAGCTTTAATAATAATAATAATAATAATAATAATAATATTAATAATGTAATAATAATTTTTGATTTTTTTTATGAATTTGAATTAGACATTTCGCGATGTCTGTGAAGCCTATGATGCATATTTTGACTCTCCAGTTCGAAATCAAGACAAGAAGGTAAGCAATTTTTAATTCAAGAGATGAACCAAATTTAATAGAAATATTATATTTTATTTTCATATTTTAGATTGATATCGAAGTGAGAAAATATTTGCAATACCAAGGATCTGGGGAGAACAAAAAGAACATGTCAACGATTGCTACTTCTGCATTGTGAATCCAAGTAAAAGACGTAGAGGTAAAATGCAAATCCTATCGAACATCCTGATCTTGAATCTTCTTCTGCTATAATTGAGCCACCAAAAAATAGCTCATCTCTTGGTTGTAATAAAAGTAATTCCGATGAGTTTATACCTACACCAGAACAACCAAAACCCTATCTTATTACTACAAAAGAGTTTAACGACTTGATGATGTTAATATCACAAATCAGAGGACTAGACATATAATATTCTCAACGTTTTGTACAAAATTAGATAGAGCTTGAAACCTGTCTGTCTTTCTTCCAATCGGTTACCCAGTAGATCTAAAAGAAAATGATGAAAGTGTTAAAATCTTGCTTGAATCTGTAAAGTATCGCGAGTATAACTGGCATGTGATTGAAGATTTTGAGATGGTCGAAATTTCTTAAGAAATTGCATGAAACTCCAGAAGCTTTTGAGTACTTGAAAAAGTTTTTTTCCAAGTTATCAGAAGCAAAGATTAAAGCTGGATTTTTTGTTGGTCCGCAAATTAGACAGATCTTCGCCAAGTTGGAAGGATTTTAAAGCAGTAGTTTTTGAATTTTGAGGAAACAACAATTTTGAAAACTACAAAAAGTTAGTTGAGGAAATTACATATGTTGCTTGCTCATCTAGATGAATTTAAACACAACATGGGAGCCTATTCAGAGGACGCTTTCATCAGGACATTATGAACTTCGAACAACGTTATCAAGGCCAATACAATGAAAACGGGATGTCGGATTATAGTTGGGGCCTATTGAGAGGAAGTACCTATGAACATAAAAGGAAAAGTAAAAGCGTAACCTTTTTAATTATTTTCCACTTTGTAAGTTATTTTGTTAATAAAACATATAAACATATTTATTTGGATGGTTTTATTTTTAATTAAAAATGAAAACTACAGATTTTGAAAAATATCGTTCAATCGATCTTCTAAATACAAAAGCAAACTTCTTTATGTCGTTTTTTTTTTCATATAATTGCTACCTAAAATATCCAAATTTTATGCTTTAAAATCAAAGTCAAATTTAGTGTCGACCCATGTCATGCTTCTAAAATTTATCACAATACCCCAATGAGTCTTAAAGTATGCACGTCAGCTAAGTTTATACCATATATACAAGAGTTTCCTATTTGGTGCTTCCATAGACTGTTTTTCCTGTTAGTATCTAAATTTTTGAAATTTCATTGTCAATAAGCATTTTCTGAAATAGGATGTCACGCTTCCCCTGACGAAGTTATCACCTACCGAAGCCGGCAATCTATCCTACATGGAAGTAGCCCAACGTTTGCAGACAGATACCAAGAAGGGTCTATCAAATAACGAAGTTGAAAGTAGACGACGATGTACAGGGTCTGCGATATAATTCTTCTTTTGTAGTGCCGCTAATCGCCCAGTTTGCAGATACAACGAGTTCACCGTCTCCTCGGAGGCTCCGGCGTGGAAAAAATACCTGGAACAATTTAAGAACCCCCTCATTCTACTCCTACTGGCATCGGCAGTGGTTTCAGCGGCCATGCAACAGTTGGACGATGCTGTCAGCATCACCGCAGCTATTATAATAGTGGTGACGGTGGCGTTCGTGCAGGAATACAGATCGGAAAAGTCCATAAAGGAACTGAGGAAATTGGTGCCTCCGGTTTGTCACTGGTGGGTAAGTCACAACGGCGGTGAAGTCGGTTAAAAAAACTCCGAAATGCAGCGTAAGGGATGGCGAACGGAAAAGCTTCCTGGCCAGGGATCTAGTAATAGGCGACATTGTGGTACTAGAAACCGGCGACAGAGTTCCTGCTGATTTAAAACTATTCGAAGGGTCGGAGCTGTTTGTAGACGAAAGTTCCTTCACCGGGGAAACAGAGCCTTCCAGAAAAACGGCCGACTGTTTTCACGGTAACAACAGCTATACTTCCAATAGTATGGCGTTTATGGGAACGCTAGTTCGATCCGGTAATGGCAAGGTAAGGTCCTTAGCAACATGTAAATCGTAGTTGATATGACCCTTGGATAGGGAATCGTGGTAGCCACCGGGGAGGACAGCGAATTTGGCGCGGTGTTTAAGATGATGTCAGAAGAAAAGGCACCGAAGACACCTCTACAGAAGTCGATGGACAGATTGGGCACCCAATTGTCGATATATTCTTTCGCCATTATTATCGTAATCATGCTTATCGGTTGGTGGCAAGGCAAAGACCTTTTGGAAATGTTTCAAATAAGCGTCAGCCTTGCAGTGGCGGCCATACCTGAAGGTGAGTCGGGAATATTTGGATTGACGTTCGCCTTATATTGAAAAAATTCAGGACTTCCCATAGTCGTCACCGTCACCTTAGCGCTAGGAGTAATGCGCATGGCCAAAAAAAAAGCCATAGTCAAAAAGCTACCCACGGTGGAGGCTTTGGGGTGTGTCAATGTAATATGTTCCGATAAAACTGGTACTATAACTTATAATGAAATGACGGTTACCACTTTGGTCACCTCAGAGGGATATACCGCCAGCGATTGTAATGGACAGCTAACCATTGACAAATGTGAAGACCCCGAGCAGGCCAATAAATCTATTAATCAATTATTGGAGGTTGGTTGTGAAGCATTAGCTAAGTAACATTGTCTTCTTAGCCGCCTTCAATCTGGCGTTGCTTAGGTATTGTAATATTTACTAGTTTCCAGATAGGAGCCGTCGCCAACAACGCCGTACTAAACGATAACCATCTGCTCGGCCAGCCGACAGAGGGAGCTTTACTGATCGCTGCATCTAAGCAGGGGGTTGATGTCGCAGGAAAATTTACAAGAATCAAAGAGTATCCTTTTACTTCTGAGAGCAAAATGATGATGGTGAAATGCGTCCGCCACCCTGACGCGACCAACCATTTTCTCGCCAAAGGGGCGATAGAAAGGATTCTACCCAAATGCACCAGTTTCAGCAGCAATGGTGATTACTTAAATTGAGAGTCTTAGACATTTTTGGATCCCTTGTAGACCAAACTTACGAAATTTCCGCTCAAAAGAAAGAGGAATTCACAGAAACAGCCAACGGACTGGGCAGAGAAGGTCTTCGGGTGATCGCTTTAGCCCAAGGTACTTCGCCAGATCAACTATGTTACTTTGGTTTGATCGGCATTTGCGATCCACCCAAACCACGAGTCAAGGAAGCAATTGGTATCCTATATGAATCGGGAGTACAAGTCAAAATGCTTACTGGGGATGCCAGGGAAACGGCAGTTGCGATCGGTGAGCAATCAGAAGGGTTTAGTTTAGTTTTTACCGAGGGTAAATAAGGAGTGAAATCTTTATTAGTTGTGAAATTCGCGAAATATTTGTTATGGTCGGCTCATAGATATAAGAAAGTGACCAATTGCTTTTGAATGGGATTATCCAAGGGTGGTCATTAACATACAATGCAACAAAATTATTACCTGAATTTTCGGAATTTAAATTCAGGTAAAATTGTGGTCTGTAATAGAAAATAATTTTATACCTACCTGTGTATAATATTCTTTGGTTTGGTATACTACTTAGTTTAAGTTTATTAGTAATCATTCTTATTTCGTGTGTAATACAGCGTGTGTTGAATCGTGTGTGAATTATGCAAAATATGTGCTATTGCACCTATTCTATTGAGACTAAGGAAGTTATAAACAATGTTTATTTCACTCTTATTGAACGTGGTGCCAGCAAGCAAGCATCTTTAGAAGAAACGGCCACATTAATACAAATTCCAACATCAACTGTATGGAAAATTGTGAATAATCCCATTTGAGCGAGGAAAAAAAAATCCTACCTTATAGAAGTTTATTCAACACATGGGTTTTAGCTTTAATGGAATCTTTTAGAATTCGGAAATGGCGACTGGAATATCTAGAGAAAATTAGGATTACAGAGAACAACAATGGCCAATTATTTACTTGGATGAAACCTGGTTCGACACTTATGATACCCCGGAAAAGGGTTGGGTTGACTCAACTGATAAGTGAATGAGGTAAAAGAATAACTATTTTGCATGCTGGCTCTAAAGATGGTTGGATTCCAAATGAACTTTCTCTGTCTGCGAAAAATATTAAAGATTCTTCTCCGGATTACCATGGAGACGCCACCGCTGATTTATTTGAAAGTTGGTTTAAAAATAAACTAGTTCCAAACATTCTTCCTAATAGCCTAATTGTAATGGACAAAGCAAGTTATCACAGTAGACAGTTGACTAAAACCACTTCCTCATGTGACACAAAAGCAACAATCCAAAACTACATGTATAATAACAACATTTATTTTCACAAAGACTATACCAATTAGTTGAGGTTCTACAAAGCTTAAACCTATAAAAGGAATACGTCTGTAACAATTATGCAAAAAATCTAGGGCATACAGTTTTAAAGCTTTCACTTTACCACTGTATATTTAATTGAACATGTTTGGCACAAACTGAAATCTGCCATTCGTCGTAACAATGTTTTTCCCCGTATTAACTCCAATGTTTTCAAACTTATAGAAACCGAAGTTTTTAACATCACTCCACCAAGTTGGCCAAATTCTGTTAAATATATAGAAAAAGCAGAACAATCGTATATCCATATTGCAAATAATATAGAACAAATAATAATTAGAACAGGCGATGATAGCGATAGTGATACTGATATATTATGTGAATAATTTTAATTAATTTAAGAAGGTAATAAAAATAATTTGTAATTTTATTTTATATTTAAACATAAATACATACATAAATAAATAAATATTGTTTAGTATATTTCCTAACAAAACCCCTGTTCGGCCATATTTCATTCTTACAGCTTGTCCGGGTCTTTCCTTAATTCGTATCAGTTAGTCACTTTCTTATACCTGTGCACAGACTTTAACTCCTACGGTTTTTCCTAAATTTTGTTTTTGTTCTGGGCACTTGTCCATAATTAAAACATTTATAACTATTTTACAATTTTAATCGTTTTATGGTTCATATTAATTCACACAACTACTGACACAAAGTTATTTCCGGCTTCGTTTGAATTTTGTTTCGTCAACCTGTGTTGATTCTGTTGATTCTAATTCCAACTAAATATGTTAAACATTAAGTGTTCTAACTAAAATAACAAAGTTGTTATTTACATGGACCTTCAAATTTATGTAAGTTATACTTAATATCTAATATCGACACCCTCTATGTGAAAAGTTATTTTTGAAGTGATATGTAAAAGGCAGCAGGTACTTAAAAAATAATTTGTATGCGCATACAAGTATAAATTAAAAATACAAATTTATTATAAAATTTATGGACTTTCAAAATAGCGTCTTTTTTATGTAATATTAATTAAATAGTTTTTTTAATTATACCGAAATACAATCTTTCACATAGGCCAACATTTTTTTTTGAAAATCACTTAAATCCAAGTCAACTTTTGGAAAATCGGTGAAATATTTGTGAAATTGTTGAAATGTAATGGTGATTCGTCGCACTATCTTCATCCAAATCGTCTGGTAATTTTTATAAAAATGTTTAAACCATCTGAGATTGCAATAATAAAACTAAAATAAAATTCCAGGGTAGTCCCTTTAATATTTATGCAAGAAATTTCTGGGTGTAACCACAGCTCAGAAGACGCTTATACAGGGAATTTGGCATACTCTAATAGTAGCTGAATTCTTTGAACAAATAGCTAACCTTACCAACTTAGAGACTAAATAACTGTTTAATTCCGACTCCTTACTCGAATCAAATCTTCAATCCAATTCTTCTATCGCGATTTATGCGCCACCCCTTTAATTTGACTCCCAACATACCCTGTATACTTAATGGTTAAAATCTGTGTTGCCATGTGTAGATGAGTGGCAAAACTGTATCTGAACTCTTTGCTTATCGAATTAAAAATCTGTACTTTGGAAATGTTGATATTTTCCCTAGGGCACAAGGGATGCAGATATGACTAAAGGAACTACTAGTACAAAACAATTAATCCTTCCTCGGACGTCCGATTTTAGTTAGTTTTAGGGTATCTTCGTTATTTTTATGGATGCAGTTTTCGCGATACGGTACTACTTTTTTCTGAAACTAAAATGGTAAATGTAAAAGTTGCAAAGATTACTGGGTTGCACAATTTAAAATTATTTTAACATTCCAACTGTTATTAAGTGTGTCACATGTTTCATACTTCGCTATTTATTTTAATTTTTCCAACATTTTTTTTTAGATTTCTCCTTCTTTCTGCTTAGGACATTGCTATAATATTAGTTGGCCATGACAAAGCTATTAGCCAACACGGCTCTATCTCAAAAATTAACAGAACTTTTTTGGAACCGTAAATGAATGGAGCAAAAGAGAATTATTACCAATTTGTGGGAAAAATAACGACAAAAGTTTTAAATTCACAGGGAAAGTTAATAATATTATACACCTATTACTGCAGATTAACTTATCTTATTTTTAATTATTTCCATGGTCCAATTAATATTCAAAAATATGCCCTTTCACTTGTTTAGTCTTTTTTGTATATTTTCTTCGACGTTCCATAGCATAAACGGTGTTATTTTCCTGCGCGTGTCTTGAATCCTATGTTCCATATCTTCTAGCGTTGCAGCGGAATCCACATAAACATGATCTTTAACTTGTCCTCACAAAAAGAAATCTAGTGGTGTTAGGTCACATAATCTATAGGGCCATCCAATAAATTCACCTCTACCGATACATTTCTGTGGGAAATTATTATTTAAAAATTATCGAACTTCTTGATGGTAATGCGGAGGAGCTCCACCTTATTGAAACCACATTTGTTGGATCTCAATGTTATCAACTTCTTGAAGAAGTTGAGGTAAATATTGTCCAATACGTTTAAAGTGTTTCATTCCACACCACGATTAACTGCATCATTACTGCGAAAAGTAGCTGCATCAGAAAACATTATTTTAGATAAAAAATTTGGAACGGCCTCTATTGCTTCATTTATAATGGTGCAGAAATTTACTCTTAAAATTTTCTTGTAAAGTCTTACTGCCAACAAACTATTTTGTTTCGCCTCATCCAGAACCTAAACCATATCAATTAAATATTGGAAAAGTTAAAATAAATCGCGAAGTATCAAAAATAGGTACGTGACATACTTGATAAAAGTTGTAGATTTACGTAAGACAGTAATCATTTTTTTATAGATTTATATCTATGTTGTTTTCGAAGTGCAGAAAAAATGTTAGAGTCAAATTCTATAAGTTGTCAAAAAAGAACACCATGGATAAGAAAAAAATGTTTGGACATTTATTTCTAGCCCAGGCGGTTGGATTGCCGTCGGATCCGTCGAGAGTGTTATCCAGCGAACAAATGGAATCGCTTTCCGAGGAAGAACTGAAGGCCGCTCTACCGTACGCCACAGTATTCTACAGGGTGACGCCCAAAAACAAACTATTAATCGTAAAATACCTTCAGAAGTGCGGTTACATCATCGGTATGACGGGAGATGGTGTCAACGACGGAGTGGCTTTGAAGAAAGCCGACATTGGTATAGCTATGGGAAAAATTGGGACAGACGTGTCGAAAGAGGCTGCCGACATGATACTCGTGGATGATGATTTTTATACTATCATGTAAGTAGAGTACAAACTTTATTTTCCATGCAAATTTAGAGCACATGGTATCCTAAAAGGAAAATGTTAGTGACAAATGATGTCGAAATGACCAAAAGTTTGTTTTATTTTTGTTTTAATTTTCATATCATATATTTCATCAATATATAAATTGTATACTGTACTGAAGCTGAATTTTTTGTTTAATATTTTAACGTTAATTTTTACTAACGTCTTTAATAAATATTTTGCACTTTAAGAAAAACAAAAGAAGATTCCATGGATTTTAAAGAAAAAATTAAAAACAAAATAATACCGGACGATCACGTTTTAATATCCCTAGATGTAGTGTCGCTATATACAAATGTACCCTTTGACCTCGTCAAGGAAGTATTAACAAAAAAGTGGGAAATTATAAGGTTATATACTGACATCCCTTTAGATGAATTTATAAACGCGGTGGACTTTACATAAAAATCAACTTTCTTTCAATAAGAAGACACGTTTTATAAACAAATAGAAGGCTGCGCGATGGGTATGGCAATCTCAAGTGTAGTTGCCCAATTAGTTATGCAATTTTTAGAAGAAACAGTTATCAAAAATCTACATTTTCATTTACCCTTTTATTTCCGTTATGTCGATGACTATATTACTGCGGTCCCAAAAAACAAAATCAAATCATTACGAGACTCCTTCAATAAATTTAACCATAAATTACAATTTAAAGTCGAAATAGAAGAACAAAACAAAATAAATTTCTTAGATTTGACCTTGCACCGCAGTAAAAATAGTATAAAAACATTTTGAATCGAACCACCACATGGCCCAAAAAAAATCTCTTGTAATAGGTCTGGCAGATAGGGCAATTATGCTGTCCGATCCTGAATTTAGAAAGGAAACGTTAGAAAAAGCCAGGTACGCACTTAAACAAAACTGTTACCCGCAAAATCTAGTAAACCAAATTTTTAAAAAAAGAATTCATAAATTCTACAACGGTCTTCAACATAACCACATATTTCAAAACAATAAAACAAAATATATACCATTAAGATACATTGCGGGCCTATCCGAAACCATCCAAGGTATTATAAAGGAACATGACGTCAAAATAGGTCATAAGGGTCACAATTTGCAAAAACAATTTTTCTCTAAAATTAAAGCAAAAATACCAAATGAAAAAAGAAGTAACATAGTGTATGAAATTCCATGTTCGGGATGCGATAGTGTGTACATTGGACAAACGAGTCGGTATCTCAATAATAGAATGAATGGGCACAAATTTGACAAAACCAACAAAAAATCTATTCATACACACTGTAGTGAAACTAAACATTCATTCGATTTTCAAAATGTAAAGATACTGAAAACAGAACCTAATACTAAAAAAAGAGAACTCTACGAATCGATAGAAATTCAAAAACACCAAAAATGCATAAACTTTAAAACCGACACAAAAGGCATTAGTAAAATTTACCATGCAATTCTGATTTAAATATAAAATATAATCTAAAAACTCAATAAATAAGGGTAGCTGGTATAAAATTAAATCTAAAATAAAAAATGAAGTAAATAAATAAAATCGCCGGGAAAAAAACGTACTTTCGTAGTTCTGATTCGGATGCCAATTGATATCTCAGTCCGCACGATAGATTCGCAGACACGCGCATTTAAATTGTCATTTACACCGTTTGTATTTCTGTTTTACAATTTTATATCTACAGTTTTATTTCTCTAATTCTAAATCGTGCCGTCGTGTGTTGTATCTAAATGTTTTTATTTCTACATCTATTTTAAAATTAGGGTAAGTTTTATTGTTCTCGCTATCGTTGCCTTGTATAGTATATATATTGTATATTCTTTAGATATTTTTGAAAAAGACCGAATACACCAGTCGAAACGTTAAATAAATTTATTATGAATTAGAAACTTTCTTCTTTTGTTTTAAGTAACTTACCAAAAAGGTCTTGATTTTAATATATATATATATATATATATATATATATATATATATATATATATATATATATATATATATATATATATATATATATATATATATATATATATATATATATATATATATATATATATATATATATATATATATATATATATATATATATATATATATATATATATATATATATATATATATATATATATATATATATATATATATGATGACACTATATTCCGGGATATCATCCGTTCGCTCGTTGAACTCCGACTGGAATCCTGCATCCGACTGGAATCCTGTAACTCACCATTATGCAAGCTGGAAAAACATCTGGCCAGTGCACTTCAGCCTATAGTGGAAAAGGCAGATTCCTATGTTAAAAACTCAGAACATTTCACTCAGATTTTAGGTTCTCTCAGGATGGACAAGGACGACATTATGGCAAGTTTCGATGTCAAATCCCTCTACCCGAGTATTCCAGTAGAAGAGGCACTCTTGCTTATAGAAGAAAACGAAGATCTTCCGCCATACATAATGGATCTGTCAAGACATTGCCTGAAAAACGCTTACTTTATGCACAACGGGAAAATTTACCGACAAATAGATGGAGCAGCAATGGGATCATCTCTCTCGCCTGTGATTGCCAACCTCTTCATGATTTACTTCGAAAAGAAAGCAATAGAGAAGGCAAATCTGAAGCCAAAACTATGGACAAGATACGTTGATGACGTATTTGTTGTATGGCCTTTTGGCAAGGAGGAGCTTTTGAAATTCCTAGATCATCTGAATTCCATTCACCCAAGGATTCAATTTACAATAGAACTTGAAGAGGATAACAGTCTGCCCTTTTTAGATGTGCACATCACAAGGACCGAAGATGGACACTTGGAACACACTGTCTATAAAAAACCAACACACACTAATAGATATCTGAACGCTAAATCTCATCACCACCCATCACAGATACAGGCAGTGGCAAATACATTAATTGCTCGGTCCTTCAGGCTCACAAACGAGAGGAACAGAGATAAAGAACTGAAGAAAATTAGTACCTGTCTTCAACAAAACGGCGCACCATCAACAAGGCAATCAATAAACAACAACAGCCGCAGCAGAGAGTGCAGGACGAGCCCCAACGAAGATCGATCGCTGTCCTGCCATACATCAAGGGGGTTACTGACAAAATCGGCCGAATATTACGGAAACACGACATATCAACGGCATACAAATCTGACCATACCATCGGAGCAATACTAAGAAACCCAAAACAAAAAATTACTCTGGAAAACCAAGGAGTATACAGTGTAGCATGCGGATCGTGCAGCCTGACGTATGTGGGACAGACCAACAGAAGGATTTCAGCCAGGCTCGAGGAACATCGTTTAGCCATAAGAAACAAACAAACAACATCTGCTTTGTTTCAGCACCAACATCAGACAGGCCATAAAATTGATTTCGGCACTTGCAAACAAATAGCTAATATTCCTGATTTTAGGACTAGGATTATACGAGAGGCCATCGAAATAGAAAAGTCCGGACACCTCAATACGAGAGACGACGCTCTGCATTTATCCAACACGTGGAGAACGATAATCAAACAGCAGAGCGATGCGCAGCAGCCAACGGGGACATCGCAACTACGATCGGGCGAAATTAACAACGCGACAATTCAGGGGGCGGAGCCACCTCCCCCCACGCACAAGCAGCACCGTTACCATCTCCGGCGCAGAGTATAAATACCACACGCACCGCCGATAACCTCCCAGTGTTCGAAGTGTTTTCGGAGCGCGAGCATTGAAGATGCCAAGTGAGATTTTGGCGAAACGTCTGCAGGATTCCAGTCGGATGCAAGATTTGCAGGATTCCAGTCGGATGCAGGATTCCAGTTGGAGTTCAACGAGCGAACGGATGATATCCCGGAATATAGTGTCATCGCATATATATATATATATATATATATATATATATATATATATATATATATATATATATATATATATATATATATATATATATATATATATATATATATATATATATATATATATATATATATATATATATTTTCAATCCAAACAACCCCGTCGTTTCAGCATACAACTGTATTTTGGAGAATTTCGATTTGGTTCAAGTTATTGACGGGCCTGCGTGTATTTCTAATACAACACTCACGCTAATTGATCATATAATTCTTTCTGAGGACTGCTCCGTTGTGGGAACGAGTGCAGTGTCGTTTGATATATTGGATCAAGAACTCGTTTTTGCTGAGTTAAATTTACAATCACAGCATTTGCAAGCTCCACCCCGTCCATTTAGGGATCTAAAGAATGTTAATCTCACTCTCTTGTATGACCAATTACAGTAGCGAAACCTATATGATGTTGATAATATTGACGATAAGGTAACCTTTTTCAATGATAATATTCCCACGTTTATGGATCTGCACTAACCATATAAACCGTGGATAACACACAAGATTAATCTACTTATAAAAGCCCGAAACAAAGCTAAAATCAAATATAAAAGAGCTAAAAATGTCGTTAATTTTAAAAAAATTAATTTTTAAAAAAGACCTATATGCAACATGTGTTAAATCGAAGTTTGAAAGAAGTGTGGAAATTCTTAAAAATCTTAATATTAGCACAAAGGAAAAATCAAATATTCCATCTCAACTCCGTAACGTTAATGAAATCCATAAGTACTTAGTTAATTCAATCCCGGTGTCACCCACCTCTAGTACGGATATCATATCGGACTATTATCATAACCCAATTGTCTTGACTGGTTCGAAGCTGAAATTTTGTCTTATCGCAGAGACTGATGTGTCGAAATTTTTATGCAACATTAAGTCGAGAGCAGTCGGAGCAGATGGTTTACATGTGAACTTCCTAATCTTTTGTTGTCGACTTATTCTTAAATATATTTGCCACATCGTTAATTTTTGCATCAATAATTCCGTTTTTTCTTCCGCGTGGAAGATTGCACATATTGTGCCTCTTGCCAAAACCAAAAGTCCCACAAGTTATAGTGGATTAAGCCCTATTAGCATATTGTCTGTAGTTTC